TACAAAGACACAATAATCAAAATAGAGTGGTATTAACATCAGCACAGACAGAAATTTTAACGGAATAAAATAGAAAACCTTGAAACAAACCCAGTTCGTACATGATAAAGTTAGCACTTCAAATAAGTGGGGAAATGATGGATTATCTAATAACAGGTCTTGGAATAGCTGGTTAGCAAATTGGGGGAAAAAACTAAATCAACTATCTACCTCATATCTAATACCAAAATAAATTTCATGTGGGTTAATATTTAAATTTTTTCATTAAATTATAACTGATGAAAGGAAAATATATATTTTTAAATAATCTTGAGACATAAAAGGCCTTTAAAAGTAGAGTACCAATGAATGATATCATAAAAGAAATGACTAGAGCAAGAAATTTAAAAAATTAAATTTAAATTAAAAAAAAGAAAAATGTTTTGGTATTTGTGACAAAGAATTAATATCCTTAATCTTTAAAAACGTCTTTCCAATCAATAAAGAATGCCTCACTTTATAAAAGAGCCTAAGACATGACTAGGTAACTCACAACTTGGCTAAACAAAAGAAATATATAACCTCCCTGATAATCAGAGAAATACAAATTATTGTGATTCTACTTTTTAAAAAAAAGTTTAAAAATAACTACAAAATCCATTGTTGTTGGCATAGAAAACAACATTCAGATACAATGTGGTAAGAATCTAACTTGATTTCAATAAGTCAATGTGAATAAAAATCTTGTGAAAGTTCAACCCTGGACTAAGTATTTCTCTTATAGGAATGTATTCCAAAGTATACCCATTTTCTATAGCTGCCCTAACAAATTACCACAAACTTGGTGGCTTCAAACAACAGAATTTTATTCTCTCATAGTTCTAGAGGCCAGAAATCCAGAATCAAGGTGTCAACAGTGCCACATTCCCTCCAGAGGTTCTAGAGGAGATTCTGTTCCTCCCTCTTCCAGCTTCTGGTGGTTGCCAGCAGGCTTGAGGCTGCATCGCTCCAATCTCTGCCTTCGTCTCTGCAGCACCTTTTCCCCTTCCTTATCTACCTCTTCTCCCTCCATCTCTTTCTGATAAGGCTACCTATGATGGAATTTAGGGCCCATCTCAATATTCCAGGACTTAATCACATCTGCAAAGACCCTTTTTCCAAATAAGGTAACATTTACAGGCTCTAGAGACTGGACATAGAAATCTCTTGGGGGATTGAGGTGAATTTTTTTCAGCGTACCACAGAAGGTAATCATTGCAATAATTGACTAACGGCGTCATTGCAACATTATGTGCAATTTTAAAAACTGAAAACCTAAAGGAATAATCTAAATGTTCAATAGAAGGGTATTAGTTAAACAAATAATGGCACATCCATCTAATGAATTAATGTATAATCATTAAAAGTAATGCTGACGCACATTGTTCCAGTTATCTATTGTTGCATTAAAAAATCACCCCAAATCTAGTGGCATACGGTAATAATTATTTCAGGCAATAATACTTATTGATGCTGAAATTAGTAGGTGAAAGCTGGAGAAGAAACAGGATATTTGCATAGTCTTAAAGTATCTCCCCCAAGATATGTATTAATTGTAAAATGAAAAAATAGTAATTTTACAGTGGAGAAAACCAGCAGACACCATCTTAACAAAGCGATCAAGGTGAAACATTACCAATAACGATATATAACAGCATCAGGTACACCAAGTGTGATCGACTGAGAAGGGCACATAACTTCCAGAGCATGCTTGCCAAAATTCATAACTTTCATCTAATCATGAGAAAACATCACATAAACCAAAACTGAAGGATATTTCACAAAACAGCTGACCAATACTCTCCAAAAGGGTCAACATCACGACAGACAAGGAAAGACTGAGGAACGATCACAGAGTGGAGGAGATTAAGGAGACATGACAACAAAATGTAACATGGGATCTTGGATTGGATACTAGTAAGTAAAAAGGACATTAGTGGGAAACCTGGTAAATTTTTAAGAAAGTCTATACTTTAATTAATGGTATTACACCAATGTTGATTTCTGAGTTTCGATCACTATGGTTATGTAAGATTAGGAGAAGCTGGGGGGAAGGGTATACGGAATTCTGTACTACTTATGCAAATTTCCCATAAATTTAAAATTATTTCAAAATAAAAAGTAAAAACCAAAACTTAATGGCATACAACAAATACGCAGAAAATGCTCAACCTCACTAATCATTCAGGAAATATAAATTAACCATGATGAAATATCATCTCACTCCTGTCAGAATGGCTATCACCAAAAACACAAGAGATAAAGTGTTGGTGTGGATGTGGATTAAAGGAAACCCTTGCATTCTGTTGGTAGGAATGTAAATTACTACAGCCATTATGGAAAAGTGTATGGAGGATTCTCAAAAAACTAAAAATAGAATTACCATATGATCCAGAAATCCCACTTCTGGGCATTTACCCAAAAGCTTTGGAATTCGTTTGTCAAAGAGATGTCTGCTCTTCCATGCTCACTGCAGCACTACTCACAATAGCCAAGTTACAGAATAACCTAAGTATCCACCAACAGATGAATGGATAAAGAAAATGTGGTATATATACACCATGGAGTACTTTTCAGTCTTTCAAAAGAAGGAAATTCTATCATCTGCAACAACATGAATAGAATTAGAGAACATTATGCCAAGCATAAACCAGACACAAAAAGACAAATACTACATGTTCCCATTTATATGTGGAATCCAAAACAATTGTACTCAGAGAAGCAGAGTAGAATGGTGGTTACCAGAAGCTGGAGGATGGGAAAATGAGAAAATAATGGCCAAAGGGTACAAAGTCTCAGACAGGAGGAATAAGAGTTTTTCTTTGAGATCTATTACATGGCATGGTGAATGGCATCAATAATGATGTATTGTACATTTCAAAATTGCTAAGAGACTAAATTTCAAATGGTCTCACCATAAAAGATGTTAAGTATTTGAGGTGATGGATAGGCTAATTAGCTCGATTTAATTATTCTATATTGTATTCATAAATCATAATATCACTTTGTACCCCATAAATATAAATTGTCAATTCACAATAAAAAAATTTTTAAGTTAATGGCATAAAACAGTGAACATTTTATTATGCTCTTGCTTCTGTGGGTCAGGAATTTGATGGACACAGCAGGAACAATTTATCTCTGCTCCACTATGAATGGGGCCTCAGATGGCTGGGTGGCTCCCTTTGGCTGGAGATGTTTGGAGTAGGTCGGGGGCCATATATCTAGCCTTGGTTATTCTCTGCATTGTGTTTGGTGGAGCTGAAATGTCCAAGCTTGCTCCTTTATTCAGTGTCTGCATTGAAACTGTTGAATAGTCAGTGTATCGGTTTCCTAGGGCTGCTATAACAATTTACCACAGGCTGGGTGGCTGCAAACAACGGAAATTTATTCCCTACAGTTCTAGAAGCTAGATATCTGAAATCAAGGTGTCAGCAGAGCATTCCTTCTGAATTGTTCCTTGCATCTTCCTAGCTTCTTTTGGGTTCCAGCAATCCTTGCATTCCTTGGCTTGTAGCTACATCCCTCTATCTTCACACAGCCTTCTTCCCTGTGTCTCTATGTCTCTTTGTGTCCTCTCCTCTTTTTTGAAGGCCCATCCTAATCCAATAAGACTTCATCTTAACTAAGTCTCTGCAAAGACCCTATTTCCAAAAAAAGACACATTCCGAGGTTCCAAGTGAACATGAATTTGAGAGAGACATTACCAAAATCATGATAGCCAGGAACTGGCTACCGTCGTCTTCTCTCTGCATAGCCCCTCCATATGGCTTGCCTGGGGCCTCTCACAGCATGGCAACCTTGGGCAGCCTGACCTCTTACATAGTGGCTGGCTTTCCTCTGAGTGAGCATTCGATGAGAAGCAGAAACTGCCTGTCTTCTTAAAGACAAGGCCTGGAAATGACATAGTGTCATTTTTTGCTGTAATATATCAATCAAAGTTGTTCCAGGCTAGCCAAGACTGAAATGGGAGGGAGAAAAGGACTCCATCTCTAAATGAGGAGGAGAATGAACACAAATAAAGACAAGGAAGTAATGGCAGCTGTTTGGAAACAAACGACCACACACATCTATTACTGACAGCTAAAGGTGCTCCAGAAATACAAATTAGTCGGGAAAAGGTTACAAAATACCATATACATATATAATTTGATCCTATTTTTCTTCTCAAAATATACATATGGATATTTGCATTAAACACATCTCGAAAGGCAAACAGTAAACTAAAATATTAATAGTGGTTATCTCCACAAGTTGAGAATTTAGCTGATAGTAATATTTTTGTTTAACCAATGTTTTCTTACGTAGATTACACGTGTTACTTCTGTAACAAAACAGAAGATGCAAAAAGTAAATGATCGATGAATTTAATATAGGCCAGACTAGTATTTTTTGATGTTTCAACTAGGATATATAAAAATACAAAATGTTTCTAATCCCTAAAATTTTCACCATCATATAAATGGGTTAAAGGTTACATGACTCCATAATATTTCTGTTTTCAAAAAAGAAGATTCACAAATATACATAGAAACAAACGAGAAAGGTAGAAATAAATGTGCAGAACTGGTTCATCTCAGGACTGTGAGAGACCAGGAAATAGGACAAATCAGTCATAGATTTTAACAAAAGGCGTTCCACAGGCTCGTAAGCAGTTAGGGAATTGTATGCAGAAAGTGGGATCTAGAGACACCTAAAAGAGACAGGAAGCAAAGGCAATGACATACTTCTGTCTGTTTCCCAGTTTGTCCCTGCCCTGTCCCCCTTACTGTCAAGCAGACACAAACACTTAAAGACACCGAAACACATCTAAGCTTGGAGTAGTTTCATATAATCCTACCTAATGTGATCAATTATTTCCCTAAAGAACAGTCAAACTCACAAAGAACAGGACAGAACAACTGGATTGGGAATTTTACTTTAATCCAAACATTCTATGACTCAGATAAAAACAAAGCTGAATGACATCTCCATCTACTCACCAACAGTTTCTTCAGACGCAGCAGTCAGAGATAAAAATTTTTTTGTATTTTCCATCTCCTCTTTACTTTGCCAAGCTTCACTATATTTTGCAGACTAATGAAAGAAAAATTTAAATTTAAACATAGGAAAAGAAGGCAACTATAATCATTGATTTTTTTAATTCCAACACAGCTCCCAGTCACATACATACAAACGAGAAGTCTCAGGCTTTTTTTCTTTTTTTTTTTTTTTTGAGGAAATCTGTAAATGTTCTCTGTTCTCACAAAATTCTGTCAACTGGTATTCCCAGATAGAGTCAGAGTATACACCTATCATTATATGATAATTACCTTGCTTAAAGTATCATAAGTTTCTGCTTGATATTTTTATAATTAGTGAGTAACCTAAAGATACACCATCAAATTAAAAAATTTCAGACATTTCAAGATTGTTACTCTATTTTATTATGTTTCCATTTATAATTCTTGCTTCAAAGGAAATAAAAACTTGCTTTAAGATTCAATAGGAAAAAGTGATAGGCTAACTTTTTCTGCTAAAATTTCCAGAAACGATTTATCTAGTTTAAAGCATTGCATTGTGAATGTTTCTTTCTTTCAATCCCAATGGACTTCCTGGGAACCTCATAAAAATGTATCTTTAACTACTACATTTTTAATTCATATTATTGTCTAGGAAACTTTCCCAGAAGTCAGTCAACTGTTCAAGGAGGGCTTTTCAAAAACAACCAATCTCTTATTACACACGGTTCCTTACCTTAAAGGCGCTTTGCTTTGAGGGTCAAAATTCAAGTATGAGTCAGTGGCTATACACCAAGTCAATGCCAACATCTAGTCAACTTCAAGCCCTCAATATTATAGAGAATAAGAGGTCCAAGGTGGGCAAGGAAAGTTATGGAGCACCAGGAATTTGTTGAGATAGGAGCAAATGAAGTATGGTCCTAGACCTCAAGCACTTTACAGCTTCCCAAAGATCTTGACCAGCACGGGAAACAGTCAACTCCCCAAAACTTGTTTGTCACAAAGGTTTACCCAAATAATGAAGCTAACCAGAGGGTTAAACTGTGTCTATTTATCTCCAAACTATAAGGCTGCTGAAGAGAAAGCAGACATACGTACTTGATGAAAGCAGCTATTACACCTCTTCCTATTCCAGAGATGGAGGGGCCCAGCACTTTACCAGCCTGCTGCTGGTAAGAGACGTGGTACCCTGGGCCTGTCCCTGGGGAGATGAACACGCCAGTGCAGTGCTTGAAATCTGAATGCCACAGACCAAGTTTTCTTCTCAGGTTCCAGAAAAATATCACCCCTATAACTCCTTCATACACACACATATACATATCACTGCCACCACCTCCACAAAATAAAGCAATAAAGGCAGGCCACAGTAACACCATGGTCCATGATTTTCTTACTCAACTTATAGAGGAAATTCTTTTTTTCTATATGTACATATAGAAAATATATATTATATATGTGCATAAAAAATATATTTTTTTTTTATATATATATATATATATATATTTTTTTTTTAGTGCCTCGCTCTGTCAGCCAGGCTGGAGTGCAGTGACATGATCATAGCTCACTGCACAGCCTTGAACTCCTGGGCTCAAGCGATCCTCCCACCTCAGCCTCCCAAGTAGCCAGGGCGACAAGCACGCACTACCATGCCTGGCTAATTTTTTAATTTTTTTGTACACATGGGGTCTCTTTATGTTGTTCAGGCTGGTCTCAAACTCCCAGCCTCAAGCGATCCTCCTGCCTCGGCCTCCCTAAGTGCTGAGATTACAGGCGTGAGCCGCCATGCCCAGCCAGGAGAATTTGTTTCTTACATGTCAGCATAAGGTTAGAGAATTCTTACCTTAATTTCTTCCCACAGCTTTATTCTCATTTCTAGACCTTGCTTCTTAATTTCTTTTTCTCTGCGTTGTTTCTTTGCCAATATTTTATCAAGTTTTTTCATCTTCTGAATAGCATCTTGAAGTTGAGAATCTAATTCTTCTAATTTGTGTTCATCTATATTGTGTGGAAAGTAAAAATAGGTCTGAAGTATAGTAAAATGATAAAGTTTTGTTTCGTTCTTACAATTTGTTCTTTCATTCAACAAATATTTATGGCTTATAGTAATAACTACTATACTGGTACCATGTATCTCGATTTACAAGGTGCTTTCACATGTATTTGTTTATATAATTACCTAACAACCCTATGAAATAGACAGTTATCTCTATTTTACAGTTGAGATAACTGGGTCCTTTCAAATAGGTAACAAATTGTAGCACTGGACTCAGAAGTGATTCTCATGATTTTAAATCCCAAATTCTTTCTCCTTCATTCTGTTACACTTTCTATGTTCATGACTAAGAAACAGAAAATAAAGAATAAGACAAGAATCCTGTCCTAAAGCTGCTTCAGTCTAACTGAAAGAGAAGGCGTGTACACAAATGGCTACAGTAAAAAGCCGTATGTCTTCAGTGACACAAAGTGGTTGCAACACATAGAAAGAAGAAAAACTCAAACAAGTACTCCATGTAGCTTGTATCTTTTTTCTGTGCTGCTTCCTTCATTCTAATTTCTTGAAGTACCTAAAAAGGTTCTTGAATTGTAGATAATTAGATAATCCATAGTAACTTATTTGAAATTAAGGACACTTTAGAACTTCTGTCATTAACTTATGATTAATGATAATAATAACTAACATTTATAGAGTTACCTGATAGGCACAGTTTTAAATGCTTTATTTTTAAGCATTATATCATTTAATGCTCATATTAACCCTCTGAGGTGGTATAATCACTGTTCTCATTTTACAAATTAGTAAACTGAAGCTATTTTGTAACTGAGTTACACGTATGTCCAAGGTCATATAACAGGTAAATGCCAGTCAGATTCCACCCAAATCTGTCTGACTGCAGAGCCAAAGCTCTTAGCCTCTTAGCCACAGATGATATTCTCTCTTTTTAAATCTGATGAAAGCTGATAATCCAGCAATGAATGAGCATGAATGCTCAAACAGTAAGTTTCAGCCAGCCCAGGATAGATCATTAGAAGTCACATATTGTGCTAAGTAAGGCCAAATTTATCAACTTTTGAAAACCCAAAGAGTTCAGTGATGTTTCCCTATAATGGACATCACTTCTTCTTCTTTTTTTTTTTTTTTTTTTTTGAGAGACAGGATCTCATTCTGTCAGGCTGAAGTGTGGTGGCATGATCATAGCTCACTGCAACCTCGAACTCCTGGGCTCAAGCAATCCTCCCACATCAGCTTCTGAATAGCCAGAGCCAAGACTACAGGTGCATGCCAACATACTTGGCTAATTAAAAAAAAAAAAAAAATTTGTAGAGATGGGGGTCTCACTATGCTGCCCAGGCTGGTTTTAAACTCCTGGGCTTAAGTGATACTCCTGCCTGGGCCTCCCAAATGCTGGGATTACAGGTACGAGCTACTGCTCTTAACTTCCTAATTTCCTTCTAAAGGAAAAAAAGAAAGAGGAAAGCAACTTATCCAAAAAGAATACTGATACTATTAAGAAGGAGGTTCCTGGAATCTTATTGCTTATGTACTTCAAAAGCAACACCTTCTAGTTCTCATTCCCAACTGCCAATCCTAGCATTCTCAGGCTCTGTCAACATAGGTAGTCTATATAGCAGGCATTTTGAAGTAACCCATTCAGTACTAAAACCATATAAACAAATCCAATGTAAACTGTGTCAACAGCTAACCTCAATTATAATATCTTAGATACGGGAAGCGGACAGGGAAGTGCTGGATAGAAAAAGGTAGGGTCCCTGGTGAGGGCTCTACCCTTGGGCCTATACCCACGGACCTAAATGAGAACAGGCACTCCTATTTTCACGCCCAAATATTGCATTTTCCAAGACCACCCTGGCCCACCATGCCCCCATCCTGTGCCCCTATAAACCCGAGACCTTTAGCATACACGACACAAGTGGCTGAGGAATAGAGGAACACACCAGCAGACACCGGCAAACCAGTGACTGCGGAACGATGCAGATGCCAAGGGGAGTTCAGTCAGAGGCAGCTGGAGGAGAGTTCAACCACCGGGCAACCCAACTCCAGGGGAAGACCACCTTCCCACTCCATCCCCCTTCCAGCTCCCCATCCATCTCACTGACAGCTACCTCTACCACTCAACAAAACCTTGCACTCATCCTCCAGGCCAACATGTGATTTGGTTTTTCCAGTATACCAGAGCAAGAACCCAGGATACAGAAAGTCCTCTGCCCCTGTGATAAGGCAGAGTGTCTAACAACTGATTAACACAAGCCGCCGGCAGACAGCAAAGCTGAAAAAGCACACTGTAACGCTCCCACTTGGGCTTTGGGAGTTGTAAACATTCACCCTTAGATGCTGCTGTGGGGGCAGAGCCCAAAAGCACTCCCCAAGGCCTCTGCACCCCCCTCTAGGCGTTTGAGCAGCAAGGCACTGAAGAAGTGAGCCGCACCCCTGTCACACATCATGCAAGGGGGATAAGGGAACTCTCCCATTTCACTTCGTTTCCTGAAAACCATAATCCTGAGTCACCTGACCTAACAGTGAGAGCTGATCTCATCCCAAACATACTCTAAATCACAGCTCTCAAACTTTTTCTCAGCTCCCCTTTACAGCCTTAAAAATTATTGAGAACCCAGCGGGGCACGGTGGCTCACGCCTGTAATCCCAGCACTTTGGGGGCCAAGGCGGGCGGATCATGAGGTCAGGAGATCAGATCATGCTGGCTAACACAGTGAAACCCCGTCTCTACTAAAAATACAAAAAAAAATAGCCAAGCGTGGTGGCAGGCACCTGTAGTCCCAGCTACTTGGGAGACTGAGGCAGGAGAATGGCATGAACCCAGGAGGCAGAGCTTGCAGTGAGCTGAGATCACACCACTGCACTATAGCCTGGGCGAAAGAGTGAGACTCCGTCTCAAAAAAAAAAAAAAAATTATTGAGAACTCATAGTAACTTTTCTTATGTGGGTTATAGTTATTGATAATGAACATATTAGAAATCAACACTGAAAAGTGCTGTAAATATTTACTTATTAATTCACTTTCAAAAATAAAAAAACATGCTATTACTAATTATGTTAACATAAGTATCACATTTTATGACAAATAACTATATTGTCAAAAAATTAGTGAGAAGAGTGGTATTGTTCAAATTTGCAATATCTGGATGAAGGGAACACAGCTGGATTCTCATATTCTCATAGGAAGACAGTCATCCTATTGTAATCTGTTGTTTTGGCTAAAGTATATGCAGAAAATTTGGCCTCACACAGATATATGGTTAAAAAAGGAAGAAGAAACTTAATAGCCTATTCAGATAATTGGATAGTCTTCTTTGATACTACACCAAAACTTAACAGGGGTGGTTTCTTACAGGTTAACTGTTAAGTGAAGTCTGTAATCAAATCAGTGAGCTTTACGTATTTGTTCCATTAAAATCCATGAATCTGTATTTCATGTTGAATGGATCTTTTATCCTACATTGATCATTTGGAAAACAGTGGTTAACTAAATTATGCAGACCTTCAACCTGTTAACACATTTCATTACACAAAGGCATCAGTTAATATTGCCACCAGTTTTTATAAGAAAATTCCAAGTATTGGAAAGCTATCAACCTCACAGTGACATATGCAGTTTTCCAAAACTGTAATTTTCACTCGAAAGCTCAAGTTTTACCATTGGCAACAAATACTGTCAGTAGTTATCCTCGAAGTAACATGTTTATTTTCTTAAAAAGAAGTCTACCAAATACCCATCTGAATGATAATTGTCAGCCATTCTTTCAAGTAAAAATGGTGTTCCATTACAAAAGTGGCCAGTTCAGCTCTCAACTCCAACCATCACAAAAGTACTTTTCTTCAACACAACCTTCAAACTTTGGCATACAGCATAATTGCTTTATGTATACTTCCCATTTTGCCCCACAAGATGTTAAGAAGATGCATATTTAAGGGTAAAAATTTCATAAAATTGATAGTTTTTACTGATTCATAGCCGGTGATACTGGCTATTTCTTTTTCCTGTCAGTGCCTGGTTGCAAAGAATACAATGACTACTAGTGCATTTTGGTGCCATTGTCCAGATTCATGATAAAGCACCAGGAATTTTGCTCACCATTCCTTTTATACCATCAGTACAAATGTCAGTATGGTGAACACAAAGGCAAACAGCATCTCAGTATTACTATGAAAACAGCTTTCACCTTGCAGAGCCCCTGCAAGGGTCTTAGGGACACCATCTCCCACCATATCCCCATGGCTCTGCAGACCACTTTTTGAGAAACACTATTCTAATTCAATCTGACTAGAATTAATTTATCACTATAAAAAACGTCATTTTTTAAAAATCCAAATGTTATTTGGTGGGATTATCCCCACAAATTATAGCATATATTTTATTGTACAATTTTAGTCATCAAAAAATCAATAAATTGCATCATAAAATGCAGAAATACTCCCTACTTGATTAATGTATAATGACCACAATATTTTATTAAATAACATATTTTGTTATATTTCTAATATAGGTATATTTAAGGGCTCTTAATATTCTTATAAATAAAAAGTGGTGATTACTTGCTCACAAATAGTGTATGTCTTTTTTGGTTTATTATTTCTACTCAGTTGATAAAAACACAGGTAATACTAACACCTTCAATATGACATTTGTAATTATCATTAACATTTGTAATTATCATTAGCCAATCACCTAGTGATTATCCTACCTGAACACTCAGGGATTATCTGATGTTGAACCAAATCCAGATCTTCATCTGACCCCTCTTCAGCCAATTTTATTTTCTCAGAGCAGCTTTCACGCTTATCATCATTACTAGTTCTTCTGTTCTCTGTATTACTGCTTTCGGAGTGGTCCTCTTTACCAGAGTTCAAGTTGCTTGCAGTATCAACCTAAAAATAATTTCCAAAAAACAGTTTCTGAAAATACTGTATTTTTTAAAACTTTACATTTCTAGAATGTTTTGACACTAATGGAAGCAGATGGAGAATGTACATAAATGCAATACACTAGCATTAAAGTATTCTAGAAATATAACACTCTAATTAAACATAATTTAACTACACAATTCCATGTAATAACATTTGCACCATTCTCCAGCAATCCTTAGCAATAATGGAGAAGAGTCTACATCAGTCCTGAAGGGAACTGCTATCTGCCGGGCTCTGGGATAAGGCACACCGGGCCTGCTCCTTGAGCTTACACTGGGATGGGCAGTTAAAGGTCTAATACGACAGCCACTTTCCACATGTGGCTACAGAACGGTTGAAAAGTGGTCAGTCTGAGTTGAGATGTGCTTTCTAGTGACAGTCTCCTAATCAGAACCCTGTGCTTTGGTCATTTATTTATTTCTATGATATTCACAGTTTTTCTATTTCATTTTAGTATCCCTTTACATTTTAGCAAAGTTCATTTTGAAAACACCACTTGACACAGTTGTGTTTTCCTAAGAGAACAGAAAAGGACCTCCGTGGCCGGGTGAGGGAAAAACAGGGATCAGAGACCCTGGGGTTGGTAAACTGTGATGAAAATCACTTCAGAAGTTAACACAGCCCCAGGGAGAGAGACAAGGCCTCCGAGAGAGAATCAGCCCCTTCTCAAAGGAGCACCTTTCCCTTCTCAACAGACAGAATGTCTCCTCCAGCCCATCTGCTCTAAGCCCTCGGTAGGTTTTGTGTTCTCTCTGCACCACATGCTCAACCATCCACCACAATCTGCGGTCCCCTCGTGAATCCCCAGGTTGGAAGACGGGCAGTGCTGAGAATGAAACTGCCAGGAATGCAGGCCTGCATGGGGATGTCCCTGCCTCAGCCAGGACATAAACCCAGCAGAACTGAGCTGACTCGGTGGTAATAATCACAGCCATCATTTATGGAAGAATTACTATCAGCCATGGCCTGCCTCATTCACTCCTCACAATGACCCTATGGTGTAGGTTTCACTGCCATGAATTAACAGAGCAGAAAACAGACCTAGCCGAAAATGAAACTAGTGAAGGCCCCATTTATAAATAAGCAAAATAGTGTTTACTTTATGTAATCTGGGAGGTGGTTAAACAGGGTTCCCTAATCAAAAACATATTTCTGCCAAAGGCAGAGAAAGCCTGGAATTCCACAATATCCAGTTAATCCTTAAGGCCTTCTGTCCTGTGAAAATGCTAACAATTCCGGGAGAAGCTGCACAAGTTCTGTCCATCATTTATATTGGTATAAATGAACTTAGCAGACCTTCCTCTGAGGCTGGGTTTCACATGGGGGAATAAAGAATACACAAAAGGGAACTAGATGGATAGTATACTTCAGGGTACCCCAAGACCTTTCACACCCATCATCTCATATGATCCTAACTCAGAAAGAGCAGAAGGTAATGAGGCACAAAGGTGAAGCTGGAGAACTAAGCAAATTTCACAAATATTCCCATAGTTTCCCACCCTACTAGCTACCAACTGTCTTCCCCATCCCATTGCCCACTGGCCTCTCTATTCCTAACCCCCTTGCTCTTCTGTCCTGTGGTCTATATGTATGATTTTTCTCTCTTCCTCATTCTTAACACTACATCCCACCTCTATATATATATGTGTGTGTGTGTGTATATATATATATCTTTTGGACAGGGTCTCACTCTGTTGCCAAGGCTGGAGTGCAGTGGCGTGATCACGGCTCACTGCAGCCTCAACCTCCTGGGCTCAAGCAATCCTCCCACCTCAGCCTCCCCAACTAGCTGGGACCACAGGTGCATGCCACCACACCCAGCTAATTTTTGTATTTTTTAATAGAAATGGGGTTTCACCACATTGCCTAGGCTGGTCTCAAACTCCTGGGCTCAAGCAATCCACCCTCCTTGGCCTCCCAAAGTGCTGAGATTACAGGCGTGAGCCACTGTGCCCAATCTATTTTTATTCTTTGAGATGGAGTCTCGCTCTGTTGACCAGGCTGGAGTGCAGTGTTGTGATCTCAGCTCACTGCAGCCTCTGCCTCCCGGATTCAAGCAATTCTCCTGCCTCAGCCTCCCAAGTAGCTGGGATTACAGGCGCCCACCACCACACCCGGCTAATTTTTGTATTTTTAGTAGAGACGGGGCTTCACCATGTTGGCCAGGCTGGTCTCGAACTCCTGGGCTCAAGCAATCCTCCCACCTTGGCCTCCCACAGTGCTGGGGTTACAGACGTGAGCCACCGCGCCCAGCCCCACCTCCATTTTTCATGGCTCCACGTCCCCTACTCCATACCTTTACCTTAATCGCAGGAAACACAAATGCCTCATGAAACCCCTTCCTAATATTTAGATTCCTACTTGAAACCCATGGGATTTTTACACAAAGTACAACCACTGGCTCTTTAAAAAAAAAAATTCATAAGCAACAACAAGCCAAAATTTTTAGAATGAGAAATATATTATCACTAAACACGTCACTAAAACACTAATATTTTAAGCTCATTTTCTGCTGTGAAAAAAAATATTCAGTAAGAATTTAATAAAAGACAAATCTGAGCAATAAAACTAACCAGCACACCAAGATTTATTATTCAAACAATATGTAAGGTTTTCTAGATGTTGAATGATTTGCAATCAGCAGTCAGCATACAATATATTTGTAGCTTTCTTCCCCAATCTAAGGTGAACCTTGCTGATTTTCTATGAACTTGATTAACACAAAACACAACTTTGAAAACTCTGCTTTCAATATAATTGTCAAAGTTCAGACTGGCTAATAAATATTCTAGAGTTTAACCTGTAGCTTAGCAGGTTGAAATAAAATCTGAGTTTATGTGATCACTGATATTCTGGTTTTAATAAGTCTTGAATGAAGTAATATTAATCTGTGTATTAAAACATGTATAAGTATTAATATCATGAAGTTGCTACTTAAAAAAAATTGTCACCCAGAAATAAATAAGCAGGAATACTAATTCTATGCTATTCTAAAATTTGCAATCTGGACAACCTAGTGAGACCTCGTCTCTATTTAAAATTTTTTTAAAAAGAAATTAGCCACGTGTATTAACATGCATGAATATCAAATGTATTATGTATGCTAGGATATAAAAGCCAGTGTGAAAAGCTACATACGTATGATTCCATTTATACAACCTTCTGGAAAAGGGAAAAAAAAAGGGACAGAGAATAGGTCAGTAATGTTAAGGGATTAAGAGTGACATTGGATTATTTACAAAGTAAAAGAATGAAAAAATGTTTTGAGGGATGATGGAACAAACTGTTCTATATCTTGATTGTAATGGTAGTTATATCACTCAATCTGTTTGCCAAAACTGTACACCAAAAAGTGAATTTTATTGTATGTGAATTTTTTAACCAATAACTAAAAGTTAATAGATCAATTGAGATACAATATTAATACATCAGAAGATTTAATATCACAAAGTTAGAAATTCTCCCCAAATTAATCTGTAAAGTGAAAGCAATTTCAATCAAAACCCCAACCGGATTTTTCAGAACTTAAAAAACTGATCTAAAGTACATATAGTCCAGGCGCGGTGGCTTACGCCTATAATCTCAACCATCTCTGGGGAGGCTGAGGCATGTGGATCACCTGAGGTCAGGAGTTCAAGACTAGCCTGGCCAACATGGTGAAATCCCATATCTTACCAAAAATAGAAAGAATTAAGTGCGGTCTATTGGTTTGTGCCTGTAGCCCCAGCTATTCAGGAGGCGAGACAGGAAAATCACTTGACCCAGGAGAGCATGAGGTTGCAGTGAGCCTAGATCAACCATTGTATTCCGGCCTGACGGCAAAATAGAGGCTAAAAAAAAAAAAATACATACAGAAGAGCAAAAAGCCAAGGATAGTTAAGACAGTCCTGAAAAAAAAATAATATGGAAAAGCCACTATCAGATATCAGTAATTATTACAAAGCTGTAAGAGTTAACACACCATATAGTAGTGATGCAGGACTAGATGAAACAAAACTGCATTTTGTACAAAGTCACTTACAGCTAGGGTTCTGGACATATGTTAGGATAATCTGATTAGATGAACCTGCACAAGATTTAGAAAGCACATGTGAGGTAGAAGCATCTTCCTAAGTTTCTGATAGGAAGCTGGCAGAAAAATATCAAAGGCAGCCATCTCTGCATGTCTAGTCACCAGCTTTGTGCTTCTGAGGGACTTGGGGCAGTGGCGGAAGCAGCAGCAGCAACTTTCTGATCTCTGGATTACAGCTCTGGTGGCGTGACCTAAGAACCCATAATCCAGGGGAAGCCCCCTCCCTGAACTCCCTTTCTTGCTGGTCGTCTGTTGACTTTGAGGTCTTCTGTTGATTTCGAGGAACTAAACTCTTCTTTGCAGTGGGGGAGGTGGAGGGGGAACACAGTCTCACTTTGTCACCTAGGCTGCAGTGCAGTGGCACAGTCGTAGCTCACTGCAGCCTTCAACTCCTGAAATCAAGCTATCCTCTTGCCTCAGCCTCCTGAGTAGCTGGGAATACAGGCATGTGCCACCATGTCCCGCTAATTTTTTTAATTTTTTCTAGAGTTAGGGTCTCGTAATGTTGCCCAGGCTTTAACTCTTATATTCAATCCCTTTCTGCTTGAAATACCTAGAGTGCTACTCCTGAACCACATCATGACAGACAAAACTCTAAGAGTTCCATAATGGAGAAGCTAGTCTACAGATTAAAAAAAGAGTATGAATTCATTAACTTGCAAAAATTTTTTTCATTATAATGTTCAAATTATTCATTTCCTAACACCTTAAAAGAAATAAATGAGAAAACTAATGCTTTAAATAAAAAAAATCAAGTCTAGATATTTTAAGGGAAAAAAAAGGGACAGCTAAAGAAAAAAAAAAAAGGTCACAGCCAGATAATACCTAATAGGGTTTGGCTCTGTGTCCCCACCCAAATCTCATGTCGAATTGTAACTCCCCGTGTTGGAGGAGGGGCCTGGTGGTAGGTGACTGAATCATTGCTGTTATTGTGATAGCGTTCTCACGAAATCTGGTTGTTTGAAAGTGTGTAGCACCTCCTCCTTCACTTTCTCTCTCTCCTCTGCTCCAGCTATGTAGGATGTGCCAGCTTCCCCTTCACCTTCTGCCATGATTGTAAGTTTCCTGAGGCCTCCCCAGCCATGCCTCTTGTACAGCCTGTGGAACCGTGCAAACCTCCTTTCTTTATAAACTACTCCGTCTCAGGTAGTTATTTTACAGCAATGTGAGAAAGGACTAATACAATATACCTACCAAATATACATCACATGACCTTTACTAAACCATTTTTTTTAAATACTGAACCTTTTTAAGTAAGTGTTTTTAGTCAAAGTCAATGGTGGCATATTAGATGTTAGAATACAAAACTTCCTTATAAAGAAAAAAAGAGTCAATGCACAAGTTTTAACAAAGTACAATGTAGAGAAATAAACTACACTCCAAAAAGAGAAAGGAAAAAAAGGAAAGCGGGAGGGAGGGGAGGAGCAGAGGGAGGAGAGAGAGAGAGGGAAGGAATGGAGTAGAGTTTTTCTCATATTAATCTAGATTAAACCCAAGAAATCTGCAAGTGCTCCCCGAACACACTGTCTAAGGAGAAAATTTAAAATGGGATGTTAAAACCACCTTAGTTTCATCAACTGCTGAGAAGTTAGGGGAAGGAGTTTAAATCTTTTCTAAACAGTAAATTACCTTGTAGGATGCTGGTTCTGTTGAGAGCACCTCCAAAGACGCATTTGAACTTCTGCTCCCAGGGCGTATTCTTGAATTTGAAGCTGGTTTTGAAATTCCATCTAGGTTTCCCTTTATAATATCCATTGAAATCCTGGGACAACAAATAAAATATTTAATACCAAGCGACTTGGATATTTAAATCTTTCATTAGTTAGTGTTAATATCCAATTACTCAGAGGCTTTGTTGTAAAGATTATGTTGCTACTGAAGTCACACTTAAGGGTTCCCCAGCTTCACCGAAAGACATCTTGTGTACACGGATTGTTAAATCTTATGCCACAGTATACGTAAAATATACTGCCCAGGATGTTAGATACTGAATACGGCTAAAAGAGAATGCAGAAGTGAATGCCATCTCGGTTGCTTCCTGGGCCTCCAGGAAAAAACACTTCCTGTGTCCCTGCTCTTCCCCGAGGGAACATTCAGGGGCACCGCTGTCTCTCAAGCAAGATCCACTTCATCTTAGTGATTGCTAAGTCCCTCCTGCTACTTTATTTTTTGAAAATGAGTCTCACTCTGTCACCCAGGCTGGATGGGGACAGTGGCGCGATCTTGGCTCCCCGCAACCTCTGCCGCCCAGGTTCAAGCAATTCTCCCTACCTCAGCCTCCCAAGTAGCTGGGATTATAGGAGCCCGCCACCACACCCAGCTTGTGTGTGTGTGTGTGTGTTTGTGTGTGTGTGTGTGTGTGTGTAAGTAGAGACGGGTGACCTCATGTGATCTGCCGCCTCAGCCTCCCAAAGTCCCCTTGCTACTTTCTTTCAGTTTTGCCTTCTTTTTTTGTAGCCTTGCCCACTCTAGCTCAGCCTTCTTCCCTCTCAGCTCTGATTTCTTCTCTCCCCTGTGGTGCTGCATTTTCATGGAGTACCTAAGCACTGCTCTCATTTTATCAACTCTCTCCTTCTAAAACCCATAATTCTATTTCTACCCTCTGAAGCAAGAGAACAAAATCTACTTCCCTCATTAGAGGACAGATTTTCATTATCTGGCTACACATTACCAATCTATTCAACTATTTTTCATGTGATATTATCCACAGGCCTCTCACCACCCTGGCTGTTCTATATCTAGTGCTATTTCCGGAAGCAGGAAATACTAGGAGGGGTGGCATAAGCTAGAGACACAGTGAGTGATGCTGCACATTGATCCTTCCAAACCGTGTGGCCTACCAAGACCATTCCAGCTCTGTCCTGTGACACTGGGGCAACACGCATGCTGAGTCAAACGGGAAGAGAGAGAGAATTCCAGCTTTTGCCCTCTCATACTCGGCTTCGCATGTGAATGGGTGCCTTCCAACAAATCCTTTCCTAAATTCCTACCAATTATACATTCAACCATAACAGAATGAAAAAGGCAATTGCTTCTACCCAACAATGTTCTTTTCTTATCCTATGAAATGACTCATCTTTCTTTTGCTTGTTGAACAGCAGAGGCAGGGTCCAGAGAATCTGTGGACACAGGAGAAAGCACAAATACAAACAACCTGAGGCTTCACCTAGGTACACAGAGCGATGTTATGGCTTGGCTTCCAACCATTCAATGTGCCAAAGCTTATGCTTAAGAGAACAGGAGGTCAGCTCTTCCCGTCCCAGCAAATGAAAAAGGCATTGATCTCAACATTATTCAAACTCTGCAAAAGGGTTTGGGCTCACTCAGGAAAGCACTGACATTATTATTGTGGGATGATGAATCACCCTGGCCCCTCACATCACAACCAAAAAGCATAAGTCACCAAAAGGCCAAATGATTTGTAAACGCCCTAAGCAGCCTGTCAAGGGAGACTTATTGCTGCTTGCAGAGGGAGCAATGAGATGCAAGCATGCGCAGAGCCGCATAATACATGTCAATAAAGGCAGAGGCACAAGGAACCAACAATGACCTGCATCAGCTAAAGGGCTCCACAAATCTTTCATTCTGCTTTAGAAATAGGTCTGTTCTATTAGGTTCACTCCTGAAAATAATACATTAAATAAAATGCAGTTCCTGAGGTAGGTGGGGATGCAGTAACAGACTATCTTATGAATTTGGCCATCTAGAAAAAGGTATGGATAAAGGGTATTAAAATTGGATCTTACAGATGTATTTAAGCATTTCGAAAGAAATTGTAACTGCCACATAGAAATTCCAGAAGAAAAATAAAGCCCTGTACAAGAAAAAAAGCAATCAAACAATATGTAAATAGTTATAATTATGTAAGCATTGAATGTTGACTTAACCAAATATTATGCCTTAATTATACTGAGCATACGCCAGAAGGAGTGCACAAAAGGAAGCGAGTAGTAACAGAAATGTAATCTGTTATCATAGGAAATCAAAGAGACTGTCCAGAAATTGATAAAGCCAAACAATAGTTAAATATAATACTTTAATGAAAGTAAAAACTAATTTTATAAGTAATAAAAAATATGAAATCTCCAACAGACTGGAAGGAACATAAATTTATAAACATAAAGATAAATTTCATAATCATAGAATTAATGACTTAGTAAGCATGACACTAAGAGCATAAATCAAAAAGGAAAATAACAGATGTGGCTACATAATAATGCTCTTGAGTCTCAAACATGAAAAAGAACTCTTAAGTGAAATTAAAAGGAAACTGAGAAACTGGGGAAAATAAATGCAACATAGATGACATACAAAAGTTTAATACATTCACATATTTATAGAGCTCTTACCAATCAGTAAGAAAAAAAAATTCTAATAGAAAACTGGGTAAAGATTTTAAAATGAAATGCACATATCAAAAAAATAGAGAAAGACATACAAATTGTCGACAATCCCACTTTAAAAAGTCCAATTTCTCTAATTAAAGGAATATACACAAGGGGACCTGAAAGATGATGACACATCAAGGAAGTAAGAGTAGTGGGTTCTGGATTGGTGGGTTCCTGGATGTTCTTGTACCCTTGCTTATCTTATTTTCTGTTTTGCTATTAACTATATCTTGTATTTATAACTAAAGAATTCATTTATTATAGAAAGATCTCTAGAATGTACTAAAAGGTATTTGAAAATAAATTAAAAATCACCCAATGTCCCACCACCCTGAGCTAAACACTATTGGTACATCTCTTTCCCATTTTTACTCTACGTGTTTTTCAACAAAATTGGACTAACGTGTTTCTCGCCACTACATAATGAGCATTTTCTTATGACATTAAAACACTTCAAAATAGAATCGTATTTACTTCACGATACTTGATTGAATAGACAGATTAGATATATGACCAGATCCTAAATTGTAACAAGTGCCAACTTTTTGTAATATTCATTTCAAATAAGATTAATTTAAAGTTTTTCATACAGGCTTGTGAGAAATGCAATCAACATAGATGAATTAAAGCCAACATGGAGACATATGGCTGCTATAATTTGGTATTTTGAGATGAATAAAAGAATCAAAAGAAAATGAATCCTCCTCTGTTGAGTCATTATGAATAGCAAGCCTTTAAAGAGTAGGACTAATTTATTTTCATTATTTTTATGTCTAAAAATTATTTATGTATGGTCAATTTTTTTCCTTTATATATTTGTGTATTGTGTAAGGAATACTTGCCCATGCAGAAAAACATCAAATAATACAGGTGAACATAAAAAATGTTTTAAGTCAAAATTCAGCTTACCCCAAGAATTAGTGTTAATAGAGACTTGCAAGTCTCACTTTTTTAGGCATATGCAAACCTTCTATCCTTTATACCCACCGACTCCTCCCCAATGCAAACACATGCAAACGGCATGGTGCTTTGCAACTTGCTTCTTCACAATTAACAATCTATTTCATATATTTTTCTATATCACCATTTATAGATATACGTCATGCTTTCAAACAACAGCGTAATATCCCATACGTGTAGCACTTTTTTAATCAGTTAACTTTGGTGGTATACAGAATATTTGCTATTAAAAGCAATTCTAAAACTTTCTCAAGATGTATCACAGATCTAAAGTAAAACTTAACACCACAAAATTTTTTTTTTGTCATTGTTGTTGTTATTGTATTTGTAGTAAAGACAGGGTTTCACCATGTTGGCCAGGCTGGCCTCGAACCCCTGACCTCAAGTGATCTGCCTGCCTCAGCCTCTCAAACTGCTGGGATTAGAGGGGTGAGCCACCAGGCCCGGCCAAAACCATAAAATTTCTAAAAAATACATGTGACTGTGGGTTAGGCAAAAATTTCTTACATACAACATCAAAGACATGATTCATAAAAGAAAATATTGATAAATTGGAAGGCATTAAAATGTAAAACTTGTACTCTTCAAAAGATGTTAAGACAAGGAAAACAAAACCCAAAGACTAGGAGTCTTTGGGTATCTGACACATATCTGACAAAGGACGCATATCATGAATATATAAACAAGTATCAAGACTCACTAACAAGAAAACAAAGGATTTGGACACACACATCACCCAAGATGATGTATGGATGTCAAAAGAGCACATGAAGAGATGTTCATCATTATTACTTCTCAAAAAAATGAAATAAAAATCACAATGAGATACCACTACACACCTATTTAAATGACAAAAATTAATTTTTTAGAAAACTGACAATACCAAGTGCTGACAAAGTTGGAAGCAACTTTAACACTCATACTGCCAGTGACAATGCAAAATCATCACTTTTCAAAACTGCTTGGCAGTTTCTTACAGTTAAACATGTACTTACCATATGACTCCACAATCTCATTCATATTTACCCAGGAAACGAAAACATATTCACACACACACACACACACACACACACAAAAACTATACATGCATATTTATACCAGTTTCATTAATAACAGCCAACAACTGGAAAGAACCCATCCGAATGTGCCTCAAGTAGGAAATGGATAAATACACGTAGGAAATGCATAAATATACGACTGTACATCCATACAATGGACTATTGTGTCTAGAATTGGTTCCAGAATTGGTTCCTTCCGGTGGGTTCTTGGTCTCCCTGATTTCAAGAATGAAGCCACAGACCCTCGCCGTGAGTGTTACAGTTCTTAAAGATGTGTGTCCCGAGTTTGTTCCTTCAGCTGTTCAGATGTGTCCAGAGTTTCTTCCTCCCGGTGGGTTCGTGGTCTCACTGGCTTCAGGAGTGAAGCTGTAGACCTCCGTGGTGACTGTTACAGCTCATAATAGTGTGGACCCAAAGAGTGAGCAGCCACAAGATTTACTGCAAAGAGTGAAAGAACAAACCCCCCACAAAGTGAAAGGGGACCCCAGCACGTTGCTGCTGCTGGTTCCGGTGGCCAGCTTTTATTCCCTTATTTGGCCCCACCCACATCCTGCTGATTGGTCCATTTTACAGAGAGCTGATTGGTCCATTTTCCAGAGCACTGATTAGTTCATTTTACAGAGAGCTGATTGGTCCGTTTTTACAGAGTGCTGATTGGTGTGTTTACAAACCTTTAGCTAGACATAGAGTGCTGATTGGTGCATTTTTACAGAGTGCTGATTGGTGCATTTACAATCCTTTAGCTAGACACAGAGCACTGATTGGTGTGTTTACAATCCTTTAGCTAGACAGAAAAGTTCTCCAAGTCCCCAACCAACCCAGAAGCCCAGCGGGCTTCATCTCTCACTATTAGCAACATAAAGGAACAAACAACAGATACACAGAACATGAATGAATAGCAACTGCATGATGCTAAGCTGAAAGAAACCTGATTCAAAAGGCCACAGGGTGTTTGCTTCCATCAAAATGACAGTCTAGAATGGGCAAAATTACAGGAACAAAAAACTAAGTGGTTGCCAGCAATAGGGTTAGGGGAGGGGTTAACTACAAAGAGCACTAGGGAATTTGGGGTTCATGACGAAACTTCCATATTCTGATTGTGGTGGCTGGTAATTACATAACTGTATGCATTTGTCAAAACTCATAGAACTTTAGATTAAATGGGTGAGGCTTACCATAAGTTATACCTCAATTGTAAGTTAATATCTTTGTGCCAATATTTCTTTAGCTATGGTCATACATCCATAAAATAAATTAGAATTGCTGAGTCAAAGAACAATTATGTTTCAAATTTTGGTAGTTCGCCAAATTGTACTCCAAAAAGGCTGCACCAAATTACACTACTTCCCCAACAGTGGACTGGGGCCCATCTGATTATGTCAAAGTTGTTTCATCTTCTCCAGTCTGAGAGGTGTAAAAGGTATCTGTGAATTTGGTTTACATTTCTTCACGAGAAAAGTTGAGTCTCTAATCAATTGTTTGCTGTTTGCATCTTTTTATTTTACCTGTGAAATGCCTATTTGCATCCTTTGCCGTTTACGGTCTAATTTAAATGGCTGGTGATCAGTTATAGATCTTGGTGGGAAGATCTAGATCTCAGGAAAGTGGAAGCCTTGGTTGGTTACAGGTCCTAATGTTAGATGATTCCTGGAGAAACAGCCTCCGCCGAGGCAGAAGCCCTTGGGGCCCCGCCCCCAATAAGCCCGCCCCCGCCCTCTCATTGGCCATGTCCGCTCTCACTGACAGTCCATCTACGAGCCAAGCGGCCCGATGCACCTCCACCCCGCCCACTCCTCGGCGCACCGCCCCGCGACCGAGCTCCGCCCTCGTCTGCGCGGCCCCTCACCTTCCCGCCGGGCCTCCTCGAGGAACTGGCCGCCGGCAGTCAGAGCGCAGACGGCCGCAGAAGCGCGCCGCCGACGCTCGCCGAGCCAGCCACTTCCCCACAGAGAAGAGGGATCTCTCCCGCCACCTCAGCCTCTCTAGTGGTGGAAGAAGCCGCCAGTTCAAAGCCGTCCTGCCTGTAGCACCGCTGTTTCTCTGGCAACTAGATGCGCGACGCTTCCGGTCTCGCGATAGGGGAAAGGGCCGTACCATCCGGAAATGGGACGGGGGCCGGCTGCTGCTGGAGGCCAGCGAGCTGGACGGCCCGGGTGTGTCCCTCCGTCTTCGCGGCCGATCGTGGGGGTGGGGAGCGATTTGTTCGTCTTTAGGTTGGATTCGGAACAGGGACGTCTGAATGCTTGTGTATCTCTGTCCCTCAGGTTGCTGTGATGCCTTACAGGTCAGCTATTCTCTCCGAGCAGTTTCCCCCTCCGTAAAATGGGAACAATAATAATTCTCTTCTCACAAGACTTGTGCAGCTCAAAAAGACCATGTATGTGAAGCTCTAGTAAATTTGGGGTGCTATGGAAATTTTAAAAATATTAGTTTTGCACAGATTTGGCTACAGTCCAAAAAGTTATAATTGCTTGTTGCACCTTCTTTCATTTCGCAGTTTCTGTAATTCTCAGTGCACGAAAATTATTTCCCTACGTCCACAAACTGATTTTCCTCACCTCCAGTGCCATCAGATTTCTCCTGCTTCTCAGCACGTTACCTTTTACAGAGCATTTTCACATTCATGGCTCCTTTGTCCTCATTGTTTTAACCGGATAAGATGTGGTTTTTTTCAGCGAAGCAAATAGTCACAGGTTGAGTTGCCGGAAGAACACAGCTGCGGTCTAGGCCAGTGCTGGATATTAAAAACCTGGCTATAAATGTCATGCCTATGCTCCTGAATCCTGCATCTTATCACCAGCCCAGACTTCCCTGAACTCCAGACTCCTTTACCTAACTGCCTATTTGACATATCCACTTAGATGTGTAAACATCTCAAACTTAACACAGGAAAAAACAACTTCTCCAGAGTCCCCCACCCACTCTATCCATCTCAGCAAATGGTAATTTCATCCTGTCATGCCTAAACCAAAAACCTTGGAGTTGTCCTCAATTCCTCTTCCCCTCACACTTTACAAATCAATTCGTTCTGTCAGCTCAGCATTCAAAATATATCCAGAATCCAAACACTCGTCACAAGTTCAGTGCTTCCATTCAGGTCCATGCAGACATCATCTCTGAATGATAAGGCTTTCTGTTGGCTCTCTGACCTACACTCCTACCTACTGCTTCCCCCTAGTAAACCTGGTTCCAGCCTCACTGTCCTCATTGTTAGTGTTTCTGTGCAGGGATTTCTTCCCAGCATTTCTCAGGGAATTTATGTGGCTTTCCAAATCTCAAAAGAAAAAAAGTTGCAAAATGAAGAAAATAGGAGAAAGTATCCTAATTCTCCTGTGAGAATTAAAACTTAGCAGCCAACCTAGGGATGTTACTGAAGAAATTCACCAATGTCAAGTTGAAAACCAGCCCAGGAAATGCCGAGTTCGAGGCTGAGGTCATCATTTTCAGGAACCAGGACAAGAGCACTTGGGAGAGACATGGCTACAGTCTCATCAGTCAGTCTTGCTTGTAGTTGGTGCTATGTTAAGTATATGTTCCTGGCCCTGTGTGCTGCTGGCAGTGAGTCATTCTTGCAAATAAAATATAAATAGGTTGATACTCATTGTATACTTTATACAAATTCTATGAGCAGTGTTCAAAAAAGTAACAAGTTTTGGATTCAAAGTAAATCCTTAAATTGGCAGTTTCCAATCCATGAGTCTGGGTAGTACAGTTAACCCTGCTAGGAGATCTGTTATTTGAATACTACTCAATAATGTTCTCTGTGTTCTCCAGTATTTGAATATTTGCCATAAACTCCAGTTCTTGTAAACACTTCTAGATTTAATAGTTCTCATTTTTTAAACAAAGGCTTCAGATACTCATAATAATAAGTAAAGAATATTAAGAAGGTAGGGAATATTTTGAGAATCAGATTTTGAGAACAGCTGGTAATTCTGATTGCCTGTTTCTGCATCCCACAGAGCAGTATCTGTCAGGAATTTGGTAACACTTGTTCCTCCAATCCAAATAACCACACACATACACCTACACACACACCAGCCTGAAATACAGTTTCCCAGCTATCCACGTGGTTTGCTCTCTTTGCTCAGGCATCTGCTTCCTCAGGAAGGCCTTTCCCAACCACCCTATATAAAATAATTATCCCCATCTCCACGCTGCCTACGCTCTGTCCCCTCGACCCTGCTTTATTTTTTTACGAAGAAGAGAGACGACATTATTTGGATTTTGATACTAAACAGTTAGGTCATCTTAGGTAAATACATAAGCTTTTGTGGGCCAGTTTCTTCGTTTGAAAAATGAAGTTGGACTAGTTTTGCAGTGCTTAACTGCACTGCACATTACAATCACCTGGGGAGATTTCATCAAATATTGAACCAGGGATGTACCTGAGATCAAATGAATCTAGGACTTCTCAACTTTAATGTGCAGACAAATCACCGAGGAATCTTGTTTAAAATGCTGCTTCAAAAAAAAAAAAAATTGCTGATTCAGTATCAGGTGAGACCGGAGACTAACAGGCTCCTATATGATGCCAGTGCTCCGAGCCCACCAACCACTGTTTACTGAGGGGCAAGACGAGATCATTGCCAAGTGTCTGCACAATTCTCATATGCCATAAACGAAGGCCATTCTTTCCAGTTTTTAATTTGGTGACTAATAGTGTCCACTAAGAAAACAATACCGTCCCAATTTCTTGCGGCGGGGGGAGGTTGACTGAGAAAAAGCAGACCTGTGATTAGTGCACATGATTACTACTGTTTTCTTTTTTTAACTGTTGCTTTTAAAATACAGGCAACAGAAGATGCATATAAAGCCAGTGAAAATAAAATTCAGGTTCCATGTACACTTGCATCTCTTCACGGTTTGTAACCTTTCCAGACTAAGTCCCTATTGACTAGATTTTGCATAAAACTGTTTATCTCATTTTGAATTGTTTTCTGTCTCTGTGTCACTCTCACGTTGTTTGTTTACCTCCTGATGCTTCCGTTTTGTAAACCGCTGAGAGGCTGTGTGTGCCTTAAGGGCCAGCTTTAATAAACTGCATTTGTTGTGTATTTGCTTTTAATTTCCCCAAATACTTCTGTGTCAGCTATTGCAGGTGACACCCTCAAAACAACATTGGGATATAAGTCCGCGAGCACCACGTGTCTATACTGTGTTTTCTGCAGTTCCATTTTCAAAAACCACAAACACATCCTGGAAAGTGTTGTGCCTTTCAAAGTCATTCATAAAAATTTTTTCTAGAGTCAAGATATTTTAAGTTAAAATTTCCCTGGTCTCATTCCAGGTTGGTGACAGATGGCAGTGGCAGTGTTAGTTTCGGAGTTTGTTTTTGTTCGCAGTCTCTCCCTACTCTTGACATCCTCCTTCTGAGTGGAGTCAGATTTGAATGAATGAAAGCAAGCAAGAGCATTGTTTGCCATCTGGGCACCAACTACCTTCAGCCTTGTTGCCCCAGTTTCCCTTTTCTCACCATCAACTTCAACCAAATGTAACAATGTGGTAGGAGAGGGATCTCATTAAGCCTCATATCGTAGATGCTACACACTGGATTTTGTGTAGAATAGCCATTTCTACTGGAGAGCAGATAATAGTGTTTGCCACTGGACAGTTCCCATCTCCTGTGAATCTATGCTTAGTGTTATTAAAAAATTACATTTACAAAGTGTTTCAGACTTGCCTTCGAAGCATCATTTCACTTCATTCATACCATTCTGAGTCGGCACTAGTATTACCTGGATTTAGAGTGGAGAAGCAGAGCACCTACAGGGTAATTGTCCCAAGGTCATTGGGAAACTAACTGGCACTGGGATTCCAACTTAGGTTCCAAAACCTGCCCTCTTGATCTCCTCATGGGTCTGAATTCAAGAAGAGGAGATATTTGTGTCCACTAGATGGTGCTGATTGTCCTCTTTAAGAAAAAAAAAAAAAAAAATCGGTAGCCACTTTCAGAAACAAGTTCATTTGGATTTTAGGTGTAATTCAAGAAACCACTGAACTGAAGTATCTTGTATGTTTGAACTGTGCTTAGATGCGTCTTTAAATAGCCACCCAAATAGGAAAAGTGAAAATTTGATCTCAAAAAAAATGCATTTTTTGAAACGTTAGTACATATAAATAATATCTAAAAACCATGGTGACTTTGAGACACTGAAAGTTCTCACACATCTGTATTTACATTCAATCAGTAGACTTAGAGGTACATGTTTTATTGCATTTACCCCTTTTATACCAACTGTACTCTCTCCAGCACTTCCCAATCCTGCTTGGGCACAGTGCCATCCATGCCAGCAAGGGTCATGAACAGGGAAGTAAATAAACCCTGAAAAAGCAACAATCAGGTTCCGGAACAGATAACCCTTTTTTTTTTTTCTTTGAGATAAGGTCACAGTCTGTTGCCCAGGCTGGAGTGCAGTAGCACAATGATCATGGCTCACTGCACTGCAGCCTCAACTTCCCAGGCTCAAGCAATCTCCCACCTCAGCCTCCTCCGCCTCCTGAGTAGCTGGGACTACAGGCACGCACCACCACACCCAGATGAATTTTTTTTTTTTTTTAAGAGGTGAAGTCTCCCTGTGTTGCCCAGGCTTAATGCTATTTTTATTGAAAGTAAAATACATGTTAAGCATATGTTTAGTGTGTGCTTAGTACCTTATTTGAGTACATTTTTTAGAGCTTAAAAGCTGTGAAATAAACCCGATTCGAATGGGTTGTCGGACTTTGTTGTTCAGAAGGATCAGTTCAGGTGTGATTTAAAATATTGATTCTAGTTCCTATTACATGATTCAGTGGGTCTGGAACACAGACCAGGAATCTGCATTTTTAACAAGTCCTTTGGTTCTTGTGGTACACATGAACCCCTGACTTCAACTTAATGTTTTAGAGGGTAAATACTGGCGAGGACATTGCTCCCGGAGGAGCTGTTCTACACGGAGGCTGTCAACAGTGACATCCAGCACTTGCTTTGCAAACAGCAGGCTAGACACTGAAAAATGCTCTCCCTGTAGAACTCTTTCCCTCCTCTCCCGGTCTGCTGTGGAGTGCTCCGCAGAATTAGCTGCTGGTCAGTGGATGTCTCCATTTTTTAGAAGATTACAATTTCTCAATGCCTATGGGTCCAAAAACAACGATGACTCTAGGTTTGCTTTCAGTAAAGAAGTTAGGTCACGCATTGTCATATAACTCTATTTCACTGGCTCGAGCGATCCACATGTCAACACAGGGGGCCAAAAACTTCCAGGACGTTGTGAAATTGTGTAAAAATCAGTGCGCGCACACACACACGCACACACAGCAGTGCAGCTACATGTTTCTGGCCTAGAGGGTTGTTTTTAAAGATAGTAAAGTACATCAGTGAAAACGAAGGTATGTTATAATACCCGGAGTCATTTGCAGGGGGAAGGTATCATGTCAACTCGGCCCTAAAGCAATCGGCTCTGCCAAGTGAGTCATTCTCACCAGAAAGGGGAAAAAAATCGGTTTCTCTTCTTTTCTGAGGAAATTCCCTCGAAGTAACAGACTTCTGAACTTTCTCATGATCTTACTGGCTCCAAAGTTTGGTCACCTGCAGCAACTCTGTACCTGCAAAGATTTAAAGAGTTGGCAGACACTTCCCAAGGCCAGCTGCAGTTTCAGTTGCCAGATGCCCACCGAGATTAGTATTCTACTCCTGACATCTCGCCCCTGTCAGCTGAGTGGATGTGACACTGCTTGCGGATCATGGCTGAAATTTCACTGCAACTATCAATCCTGGGCTGAAACCAACAGTATCTGAACATTGCCCATGCATTGGGTTTCATGCTTCATGTTTTCAACCTACCAGTAAGCTTGTCTCTGAGTCTAAAATCTAACTTCACTATTGAGCTTGGTCTCTCTGATCCCACAGGGGTTCATTCGTTTGTTGTTTTAAATTGGATCTCCTGATCCATGTACTTGCTTGAGGTGAGCAGGTCTGTGCAAACCTACCCCCAAAGGCCGAGGAAGCTGAGAGGCCAATGAAAGAAGCTGACAAGCCCATTTTCTCAGAAAGAAACATTCAGTAGGGGGCTTACAAACAGAAGCCGTGTCTCTGGTAGCCAGAGAGACAGTGGATCCCCGCACCCGCCCTCCAGAAAGCATCCTTTATATAGCAAGATTTTAGGGAAAGATGTGCAGCCAGTCATGCCTCAGGCCTTCTTGCAAAACTCATGACCCCTGGGGTGGTTAGATAAGCATCTCTGTAGGGGTTATCTATGCTACAGGAACACACTGGTCATCTTGCTATGCAACAGGCTGTTTTCCCACAATACTAAAACTTCATATAAGTTATGTAAGCCTTCATTATTATGTAAACCTTTGTACATATTTTAACAAAAAGTAAAGGAAGCTAAAACAATTAAGATGCCGTATTAGAAACACATTCAAACCAAATATTTAGGGTGTTAAGCAGCAATGTACGGAAATGATTTTTCTCAGAGTTAACATCTGAGAGATGAAGAAATAAGAAGGAAACCACCACAGGGGTTTGTTCATCAGTCAAGGGTCAGGCTGCCACAATGTTTAAGGCTCATCCTGGCATTCTTAGCTTCTCACTTTTTTTTTTTTGAGACACAGTCTCGCTCTGTCACTCAGGCTGCAGTGCAGTGGCCGGGATCTCAGCTCACTGTACGCTCCGCCTCCCGGTTTCACGCCATTCTCTGCCTCAGCCTCGCCGAGTAGCCTGGGACTACAGGCACCCGCCACTGCCGGCTAGTTTTTTTGTATCTCTTTTTAGGTTAGAGACGGGGTTTCACCGGCGTTAGCCCAGGGATGGTCTCGATCAGTTCCTGACTCGCTGATCCACCCATCTCGGCCTCCCAAACGTGCTGGATTGGAGGCTTGAGACCACCACGCCTCAGCCTCACTGTATTTTCTTACATGACTATTTTCTTAAGCTCCAAAAATTTCAAGATAATGTTTTCCTAATCTGAAACATACACGTGTTTATATAACTACTAGGGAACTGCGGTCATCATTTTTGATGACTATTGGTTTTCTTGTTTGACTGCATTTTAAAATTGATCATCCAAACTCCTTTCTTAATAGAAGCTGGCTTATTTTCCCCTCATTTTGCCATAATAGGCCAAACTAGATTTATGTTTTAATTTGTTGAAAAATTGTTATGTTTTATATTTTTGTATTCCATCACTGACCAACACATTTTAAAATACACATCTCTGGATTTTCTTTTTTTTTTTTTTTTTTTCTTCTGAGACAGAGTCTTGCTCTGCTGTTCAGGCGGGAGGGCAGTGGCGGCTATCTTTTGCTCACTGCAATCTCTGCCTCCCAGGTTTAAGCAATTCTCCTTCCTTCAGCTCCCCAAAGTTTAAGCTGGGATTACAGGGCGCACGCCACCACGCCCAGCTAATTTTTGTATTTTTAGTAGAGATGGGGTTTCACCATGTTGGCCAGGCTGGTCTCGAACTCCTGACCTCAGGTGATCCACTCATCTCGACCTCCCAAAGTGCTGAGATTACAGGTGTGAGCCACCACACCACACCCAGCCACATCTCTGGATTTTCTGTGCTGTCTTTGCCAAGAACAGTGTGGCCTGGGCCCAGTCTCTTAACCTCTTTCCACCTCAGTTTCTTCGTCTACTAAATAAGAGGTCGATAAAGGTTTCTACCACTACTTCCAGCTCTGAGACCCTGTGAGCTTCTGATTTAAGCAGTCTCTGCTCTCTTTGGAAAGGACCTGCTCATGTATCTCAGCCAGGACTGAAACAGCATTCATACCAATGTAAAAGCCGTCTGCTCAACGTGCATGGCAGCAAGAATTGCTTGTTTAGAAACATCTGGGTAATGGTAACAGCCATCTGTCTTGTCCCTGCAATTGTCGAACAAAGAATTAAGCACAGCAAAACCACAAGAGAAGTGCCCTATTTTTATAGAACGATGCAATGGAACAGGTTCAGAATTGGTTTAGGTTTTATGAGAGTTGCATGTATCCCACCTCTGTTATGGAAGGGCAGGTCTCTTCACCTCTCCAGACTTCAGTTTACCAGCCTATCTGTCAAACAATGGGAAGATAACTCTCTAGCACTCTTCCTTATTTTGTTGA